ATGTTATTTGTACTAAAAGTGAGGAGATGGTTATCTTTTTTTGTCAGCAGGAGCGAAAGGTCAGCAATAAATCTTCAAGCATTTCTGTTATTTCCATATTTGTTCAATGCTGTGATGTCCTGCTACCGCATTTAGATGTCTTTGACGCTATGTCATGAATTATTCCTTTTTTTCCTGACAGTTTCGAGTGTTCACTGCTCCCTTCCACAAGGTAGGCTTTGCAGATTTCTGGCTGGCTGATCAGCTCAACAGCCTGGTTGTGATACTCATGGACCTGGAATACATGATCTGCTTCTACAGCTTTGAGGTTCAGTGGGAGGACAATGCTGGACTTCTGGCAAATACAGGTAGAGTAATGCTGACGAGCCATGCGAAACTCTGAGCAGGGCAACTTCATAATCATCCATCTGTTTTGAAGAGGGCTGCCAGTGACATAGGAAACTAAAATAATTGGCATTTCCTGTAAACACAGCATTAAAGAGATTCTCCCCTTTCTTACTTCCAGCCAGAGAAATGGAATTTCACATCAGTGTTCATTTCCTAATCCAGTCATTTGGCTTGACTTGTATATTCATCCAAGAATTTAGACACAGCACTTGTTGATTGGAAAGAGAAATCCATTTTCCTGGCATTGTTTTTTTTATTTCATAGTGGTTTAACCATGTATTTGCTTTTAGCCTGTTCCTGTTGCATGAGCTTGGTAACCACAATTTTCTGTGCTGTAGCTGCTTCTTACAGGCTCCGTTGCAGTACCCTCAAGCAAGAGAGGATGGAGAAACTTCCTCAGAGCTTGTTAGTGCCACCCTTTATTCAATTAGAGTTGATGCTGTGACACCAGGGTTGTGTGTGCTCTGCCTCTTCTCTCCTTTCTAGCCAGAAGAGCTGCAGAGTTGGCATATGAATTTTGACTTTGGCCTTCCCAGTGGCAAAACAGTACCTGTCTCCTCCTGGATCAGGCTGTTGTCTTTCCATTTCAAGCAGTGACTGCTGGCAAATCGTGTTGTCTGATGGTTTTGACACTTGCTGAAAGAATTTGCAGTATGCTTCAATAAGCATAAGTGTTCACTTTGTTCTTCCAATCTGTCGGATCTTTCTCTTCCCTTTAAGACAGTGTTGCAAGTAACTGTATTTATTAAAAATAAAATAAATAAAGCAACTGAGGGGATAACAACTTCTCCTCTTACAATCCAAACAGTGGAATGATAGCACAGTGCTTTGGGATAAATATCAGCTAATAACTTGTCTCCGTTAGTCTAAATAAAAAACAAATGTTTGTTAGTCAGTGGGGTGTTTGGTTTAGATGTGCTGAGCAAGACAGCATAAGAATATGGCATGCTTGGAGGTTCTAGGCAAAGCTGGGGTTTTCCTGGTCGTTTCATCAATAAGAAGGCTTTCAAACATCAGGGGTGTGACACAGTGTCATGCTGGTATAGTTGCATCTTACCCCAGTTGTTTGCTTTTTTCTTTCTTTTTTTTTTTTTTAAAAAAAAGAACAAAAAAAAGCCCAAACACATACTGAAGTATGTTTTTTCCTATTGCAATATACAAGAATAATGGGTCAAGGACATCTTAGGCAAAGTAGCCTTCTTGAGCTGTCCTGCAGAGTTTGGAAATGCTCTGCAATTTATGCACAAAAATTCAGTGTCGAAGGCCTTTTGTAATTCCATCCTTAATTTGATTACTCACAGTGCTGCCAGCAGCACAAAATAAATTTAAAAATAAATTCTTTCTAATCTTCTTGCATGTTAATTGTACTGGCAGCAGTGAAAGAGTTAGATGATGATCTGTCTGGATGTTATTGATATCATGTCACCTGAATACCTCGGAGAAGGAGTAAAGGGCTTCAGGATACTTTCTGGTGATGAGCTTCTCGCTGTTCGGGATAGGTGTGTGTGCATACGTGTGTGTGCCTAAGTACGAGACATCGATGGGGAATTACTTTCATGTCAAGTGATATTACTCTTACAGAAAAGAAGACGATAGGAGTTCTTAAACTTACTGACTCTGTGTCCCTGAAACTTTTTTCTTGCAGATAATCAGATTTGTTACAGCTACTCCTACGGAGTGAGAGCAGTTGTCCAGTGCATCCCTGCTTGGTTGCGATTCATCCAGTGCCTGCGCCGTTACCGAGATAACAAACGGGCCTTTCATCTGGTTAACGCTGGAAAATATTCCACCACCTTCTTCGTGGTGACATTTGCAGCCCTCTACAGCACTCACAAAGGTATTGGTTATTTTGGAAAATCCTTTGCAAGTCATGGGATTTGCTTTTTATATGGGAGAAGCTCAGAATTTGGCATCCCACTGAAGCATGAACTTTTGTCTTTTGGCACCTGTGAAACATCTCAGTGGAAAGGCAAAGGCCTGCCTGGCTTGCAGAGGGTATTTTAAGATCATCTTTTAGGTATTTTTTGCATACGTGGTCTGCTTAGAACTGCACTTCAGGAGTGTGAGAGACAATTTCCAGGTTTCTCTCTGAAAAGGAGAAAATTGAAATACCTGTCAGTTTTTGCTGTGAAGGGAGGTTGAATGGGAGGTGTATGGGGAAAGGGATGATATAGGAAATGCTTCTCCCTTGGCATTTGTGAATAGCTAACCTGGATCATTTCAATAAAGTCGGTCCATCATTCCTGAACACAGGGAGATGTGCACAGTGCTGGGAAAATGCCCTGTCTGAATTTTCCTGTGTGTTTTTATCCATGTTTTTTTCTGCAGCTGGTAGGGAGTTTTTTCCAATCCATTTAACTGCAGATTGAGCTCTGATCCCTGAAGTTCCCCATCTCCCTGGAAACGACAATTACTCAATTCTGCTCTTGTTCTGAAGGAAAAAGCTTTTAGTTTCTGCACTTCAGGCAGTCGCCCTGCCTTTCATTGTTCTGAAGTCCTGAAAGCTGTATTCTTTTATTTGAAAATATCTGCCTTTTATATCTCCAGAAATTAGCAACCACACACGCTCGTGAGCAATTACTTATCCTGAAATATGATTGTGGTGGGGCAGGGAGAAGTATTCAAGGCATGCTTCTAGTTAACATGGTTTTTTGGAGGGGTGGCAGGGTTATTAGAAACCTTCCTGTGGCCAAGAAGTGGCTGTTTTGACGTAGCTGGGCCTGAAGTCACACCGATAATGTTTGCCAAGCCTTGCATTTTAACGGCAGAGAAGCGCACTGGTGCGAGCTAGCTGAAGGCTGGAAGTCGGGCGCTCTGTATCCGGAGGTGCACGCAAACCTGGTGTGGGAGCATCAGTGGTGGATGGAGCGCCTGGCCCCTCTGTGCATCTCCTCCCCGCTGCTGTGTCCCCGGAGCTTGTTCCCGTTTTAACTTGTTTGCTCAGTGACATTCTGCAGCTCTTCAGTTCCAGCCCTGCAGTCCAGTTAGTCACCGCTGCCAAACCCCGAGATGAGACAAATACAGATCGCCTGGCTATAGTCACTGCTTGTATGCTTTTGTAAACATGTGCTTTTATATACGTATGTAAAAGTGCCTGCTTTGGGGAGGCTGACTAACGCCTCTCTTTCCTGGGGCGGGGGGGGAACGACACTCTGGCAGAGCCGTCTGTGGGAAGGTTGGAGTAGGTTTGGAAGCAAGAGGAAAACCAACATCTGTCAAAATGTCCCGTTGAAGAATTTGACCTGTTTCTACTCCATTTCTACTCCCCTTTAAGTTTGCATCTGTGCCAGTACTGCTGACCCTTCTCCTTGCTGCCATATATAACTGTTGTCTGCTCTTCAAGTCTGGCAGGGAGTGGGTTGTAATGAGCTGTTTATGAGCCAGGCATGGGGCTTGTTCCAGTTGCTGAGAGATGCTTGTGACTCCCAGCTTTTGTCTGTCCGGTTTTGTTAGTGGGAGTCAATAGCACGTAGTTGTTGGTATCCTACAAAAAGATTTGGAAGCTTCGTGGCCTTTGGAAATTATACGTTAGCACAGATTTTGTAAATGTCTCAGTGCCTGGGCTTGTAGCGATTTTTTCAGAGGGCTGCCTAAAGACCTTGCTGTGTCTTCTCAGCCCTGTAGGCCTATTCCCATCCTGCCATAAATGCACTTTCTAATATGCTGTACCTGTTAAGAATCCAATTTTATCTATGTGCTTTACATATATTCCCAGTTCTTTTTGAACTTGGAATCAGATGGTCTATCATCAAGTTGTTATGATGTTACTGTTGAAAATAGATGCACTACTCGCCCACTCCTCTGTGTCTGTCTAAGGGTAGCAGAGACAAACACCAACCTCTTACCTATAAAAACATCTGTTGGGGGCTAGCTGCTTGCTATTAAGAAAGGAAGCACTGCCCAAACCAAGTGTCAAATTGGTAAAGATCCTTACTGCTCTAAATTGCAGTAACTAACGAACATGTTAATTGCTGTGGTAACAAGAGTTTTATTTAAACAGTCTGTGTTTGCAAGCCTCTGACTTACACCTCTGGAATGACAGCTTTTGGCTGCCAGGACAAGAGGGTAGTTGGTGGCCTTTTCTTAGTAGGTCAGGTAACGTACACCAGCGCCTGTTCTCCTCTTGGGAGTCCTGGGGATGTTGCAGCCCTCTGGAAAGGCTTGTCTTCCTCCCTTGATTTGAACATTGAATAATTTGTAGCTGCTCTGTAGGTTTTTAGCTTGTGTCTGCCAGCTGTGTGAAGATGGACAGTGCGGCTGGTGTTGAAAGCCAGCTAATTCATACAGAGTGCGCTTACGGCATTGTTGTGCTGTGTTTTGGTATGCTTGTTGGAAAACAACTCGAACTAAAGCAATGTTCAAATGCTACTTTATTATGTTTAAGTGATGTATGCTGCTTCTAGTCATACGTAGCACTCCCTTCTCCAAACCTGCTGTAGCGAAGGATCCCCCCCAATAACACAGTATACTGGGGGCTCTTGACCAGTATCTATTTCCCCAAAATACCACTGTTTAATAATTCGTATTGCTCGGGCAGTGCATAATTCTGATTCTTTGTTCCCTTAGAGAAGCTGTTTCTTTATTTTTCTTCCTTCTGATTTAGATGCAGAATGCAATTTTCTCTGCTAATTGCAGTTAGGATGTTGGACCGGTAAGATCTATTAGACTTTTCTCTCTCAAACTGGCAATCCTGTGGTCCTGGGACTAGACCAGTTTTACAGAGTTAACACCAAGCTATCATCTCCTGAATTAGTGAAGCTGAAGTGAGAAACGCTACCCTTTAACATCAAAAGACCAGTGCAGGCAGCGGTTGCGTGGACAAATGCCGACTCAAGCTGCCTGCTTCACCGTGGCTCAGAAACACAGCAGCAACCCAAGGGCAACTGTTGCTGAGCTCCCAAAGGAAGAATTCTCAGTATTTTTATATCGCTCAAAGGAATGGGAAGCAAAGGCCGAGTTCTGTAAATATAGTCCTGCGGGGTATGTTTGCACAGGCAAATGAGGCATATCTGTAACTCTAAGCTACCTAGCAACTGGAGTGCGTGTTGCCGGTCCCTGCCCGCTCGCAGCACAGCCGAGCAGAAGCCTCTGCCCCCGTCTCTTTCCTACCCTTGCTTTAATTTCCCTGGCAGTGCTGAGCAGCCTTCCCCCAGAGCTAGCCAACTGAATATTATATTGCCTTATTTAATCCCTACGGAAACCTAAGTGGTGCTGGGGAAACAAATGATTAAGCTCAAGTCTGCAGCAGAGTATTTACCCCAAGTGCGGTGTTATTTTGACACACAACTACTTTTTGCAGTGTTTTCACTCTGCCAAAAGCAGATGCGCTTTCCTTGACAAATGCACCAGTATAGCTGCGTCCACTTCAGTCCAGCTTATAGTAGCATTCCACAGGGATCCCCTCTTGTATAAAGTGTACTTGCATTTACGCTGGCATACCTAGAATAGCCAGCCTTGGTTTCATTCCTCACTCAGACCTGGTTCAGCCTGTGTAAGATAAGGATTGTTGTATGTAGCTGTTCAGCTCTTCTGAGAAACAGTGCAGCTGGAGTTGTGTTGTACTACTCTGAGTGCCGCTCGCTTCTTAAGCTTTATGCATGATTTATGTTCCAGCTTCATTCTTTGTAAAATGAGATGCTTCTTGGTTTTGCTACTGTCAATTTTCTCTTACCTTGTTGCCTTTTGCTCCCATGGTGTCATTGAAAATATCTGGCTCACACAGAATATAGATCTGGCTTCTGTGCTTGAAGAACTGAGCTTCTCGAGTGCTTTGTACTCTTCCATCATTTTCTTGTTTTGTGGGATTTGCTGTTTCAGTGTGAGCATTTGCGTGTTTACCTTGTTTTTTTCAGGAATGCATTCCTGAGCTTAAGCACAAGTACTGGGTTAAAATTGGCTATGTGGGATTTTATCCTTTAACTGAAAGGAAAGATGGTTTATGCAAGTTTTCATTTTCTGTTTTATTTACACACCTTATTCAATGAAATCACTGTGGTCTGGGTAGTATCCAGCTATTTATTAACCTCTGAATTATTCAAAGTTAATCCATGAAGCCAGGAAACTTGAGCAAGCATCTCTTCTTCCATACCGCTCCCATGCCCTTTCCAGGTACTCCAAATAAGACTGCTAAACACTAGCTGTCATTGGCTTGGAAGTGCCGTGGAGAGCCTTTAGGTCGGTCTAAGATAATATAACTGCCATGCACTTTCTCATTAAACAGCCCAGGAAATTGACAGTAATTAAAAATGCAGAAGTTAACTAAATAGGGCTGTCTCTAAAGAGTTGTGCTTCTGTCTGTGCTCTCACCATCGCTTCAGAAACAGGCTTCTCCCGATGAAGTGATGCGTAATTTGTTTTTTTTAAAGCCTTGAGAAAACTGTGAAACTCCTTGCTTTGCCAAGGAATAGAGACGTGAACTGTCAAGGCAAGAGTCATCCTTCGATTAATGGGCTTTTGCAGGAAGGTGTTGGACCATCCCTTACTAATAGAGAGGTTCGAACAGGTCTGACAAGATGAAGATGAATGGGAAATGTGCTGCTTTTTGAAAATATAGTGCAAGATTCCCAGGTCTCGTAACTGCTCCCCACTCCTCGTTAATCACGATGGCTTCAGCTGTTACCAGTGGTGATACCGGCTGGCGTAGCCGACTTCATGCTGGAACGGATCACTGGTTCTCCCACGGTCTGTCCCACCGCAGCTCCGCTGGGGAGGGGTATGACTTCCAGGTGGAGGATAATGGTGCATGGCAGGAAGGAGGAGAGGGTAGTGGCAACATCAAACTTTTGCTGTGGGAGCTGCAGGAGAATACCTGGACTGCACCTTAGCTCTGCTCTTTGC